AAAGCATAGCATAGATACCAAATATATTTGGTAGTTAATGAAATCATAATGGTAAAATAGAAACACTGCAATAATGTAGTAACCGTTCCAGAGAGTGGCGCGTAATCTTTTTGATCTGCATTTCAAACGGCGAAGATGTACATTGTACTAACTGCAAGATTCGTTTCGTTTTGTAAAAAGATTGAACAATTCATACAAGCGGGCACCACTAAGGTTAAACCTATTTAAGAAGGGCTTAGTCTGAGAGCTCAGGCGAGACGGTGACACAAGATTCCTTTTTTATGCGTTTTTCTTTTTAGAATCAACCCAAATCTTCATTTAAGAATGCTGCGGGCTGGCATGAAAGAGTGGAGGCTACCACCAAGTCGATTGGACTAGACCGGCTTAGTTGGATCGCTGAATCCCTCCACAAAGCTATCCTACCTCGACTAACATGACCGTATATCGTTGTCTCCGATGCACCTGGTCGTTTCTAACACGTCAAACCATATCTTTTTCGTTCCATCATTCTTTTGATTTGAGATGTCCCGAACATATTTCTGCAGATCAGTGCGCGAGCGCTCTTTATTTGAGCTCACTAAACCTGCCCCTAACTAAGTCTAATGGTGGTTCGGTGTGGCGCGCCGATGTAAGTTTGATTCTTGCTCGTCAATAACGGCCGTATCCTGCATTAACAAAGCCAAGTTACAACAGCTAGCATTTATTTCTGAGTATAATCCATAAGCGCGCATGTAACTATCAAATATGGCCACCAGAAAAGTATAACCATTGGCCTACGGTCTCTGTTTGCTAGCGTGTAGATAAAGCTCATCCATTAATTGCGGAAACGTCAAAAATCGTCTCATTTCGTTCCTCTGTTCGAGACTCGTTAAATTATGCAAAAATTATGATTAAAGAATCGCTTTTGTGATGAGCTTGACACGCGTTTTATGACTGGATAAAAGATAATTTGCGAATGCAACGTATTTTATCTGTAACCAATTTTGGTACGACTGGAAGTTTTGCTTTTATTATAAATGGACGCACAGTTTAACCAAAGACAATCAAGAACTGGCATCACAGAATCTCTACACGGGGCATTCACGTACATGATGATCATGTTCATGATCGTGATCTTCAATAATATGAGGGTATCGCGATCCGCACAGAGTTTTGTTCCATGTGTACCTATTACTTGCGAATTTGCCAGGAAAGCATACGTCACCCGTGTGTTTCTAGCCGTGCCATTACATACAAAATCAGAAATACGCATACATCTGTTGGTTTTTTTTTAGTTCTGTATAGGTGAGTTACTAAAACTTAACGAACTGGCTTGTTGTTTAGTAAAATCGTAGTAGTCAAATTGATCTGCACTCAATCAAAAAATCTTTCTTTTCTTACCTAAAAAGGTGTTCATCCTATGACGCGAATTAGCATAGAAGTTAATTGTATACGAAAGTTATGATACTTGTGTGTCACCTCATGGAATTCACAGTATGGAAGCTTGCTATGCCCAAAAAATTGCAAGCTATACAACCATCATTAACTTCCGATAGGCAACCCGAACCAATCCCTACGCCGCGATGGCAACTTACACTAGCGGAAGGATCGAAGAGTCTTGCCATTTTATGGAGAGGGCACCTGGACAACGCCCACGCGTGCGGTGATTGCATAAAATCACCCTTCGGATTTATGCTTGATAGCTAACCAAACCTTATACAGAAATAATAGGAATACAATCAAGAAGCATAATAAAGTTACGTTATCTCTAAAACGTCTGGTAAAAAAATCGTTCGAGTATTTATTTAGCTCGTTTTTGTGGATCTGTTGATTTAATTGTGAGATGAGCCAAATATCCAATCGGATATAGAGCTATTTTAGTCGTTTTAGAGAATTTAAGACCTTCATTGGACCTGAAAACTAATCTTTGCTGACCATCTTGCTTCAGTTTTAGTAAATGTCCTACATTTTTTTAAGATAGTTAACTATCAGACTAATTTTGTTAGCGCCGTGCGATGAGTTCTATTTAAATTGCATCTCCAATCGAAACAGTTTCTTCCGTAAAGCATAATGCTCATTTTTAAATAATTCTAAATTCTAAAAGCTCTCGTCGTTCCGCAAATCGTAGACTTCTATATGTTAGTTTGTTTTTTAAATCTCGGCGACTGAAAAATAGCGTCATACTGAAATAACGTAAAAGGTTTACCTCTTAACAGGGTGACGGAACGATGCTAAATGCAGGCAATATTTGCATTTTGGTTCGGTAATGGTGTAGCATGTGACGCCGCAGGTTATAGTCACATAAATATGAAGTGCAAAACTACTTGCTGTTTATATATATTAAACGCTATCTAATGTTACCCGAACCAACCTCGATATATGGGACTCCGTGCCACATCAGCGAATTAGGATTGTCAACCAACGATGAAGCCGGTGAGGACAAAGGTCGAGGGTTTTTAACATTGTTATTATTTTCGTAACGTAATACCACAGTTATAAAGCTTGTTAGTAAGGGGTGATAATGGACCCAAAAGGTCAAAAAGAGACCGCAACTATTTGCTTGACTGTGTTACTTACTAACCTTCCTTTCTATATTACTTAGTAACAAAAGGTATTTAGTAGCAAAAGACACTTAGTAACAAAAGGCACTTAATAACAAAAGGCACTTAATAACAAAAGGCACTTAGTAGCAAAAGGTTCTTAGTAGTAAAAGGTTCTTAGTAGTAAAAGACACTTAGTGACAAAGGCACTTAGTAGCAAAAGATACTTAGTAACAAAGGGCAATGAGCTTTTAAAACATTCGCTCACTCATTCGTTAAACTCAAATCTGACGTATGTATAATTAAGTTCTGGCCTGCTGAGAAATCGACCACTGTAGATGAACATATTTGACGTCAAGAGTGTCTTCTTCATTTTTACCTCATTTTCCAACAAAAAATTTTAAAAAATGGGTAGTAACAAACTAATTTGCATTATGATTTTAAGTGGTAGGTGTTTGAGGAGGAAAGCTAGTGGCTGCGATCAGATTCAAAGAACTCTGGGACTTACAAAGTATTTTATTATGCGGCCCACGGCGTATCAGCCAACGCTAGAGAAGAATGAGTGAGTGAGTGCCGATCTCTGCTGCAGGAAGAGAAGAACTGAGAAAAAACTGACTGTGACACATGAGAACTTTTCAAAAACGTTTCTAGGGCAGATCTATGCGTAACAGTTGTGTATTTGTCATCCGGAAGACGAACTCCTAGACCACCAAAAGCATGCAGCCACATATCTATCTCACATATATATCAACGTCCAGTCTAACCAGGCCATCTCTAGGCATCCTAAGCTGCTCCTCAGCGAGATGAGAGTTCAATACATTACCTAGGGCACATATGTGATTTGGGACTTCACGAGTCGGAAGATTGCTTTCGCACGAAAACTACAGAGAATCCGCCACTCTCGTTCCTCATCGCTCTAACAAGCACGTTCTTGGAAAAGAATCTTAGGACAAGGCCTCAATGTCAAGTGTGTGGCCTGTCACATATACTTTCGCAATGACCTTTTGCGCGATAAAACCCAGAATATGTTCCGGTTTTTCTAGGACACGTCCCCTAGACGATCAACTTGAAGCCTTAGCGGGGCAACATCTTTTTGCCCAGAAAGACAGCTAAGCTACTGACCACCATCGCACTGACACAAATATGCCACTGGACCCACATGTAGGACCTATACACTCTGGTTCCCAAAGTCCTAAAGAATAGTCCTCACATAGTTTCCTCAGAGACCTGTCCGGCCGTCAGTTGTGAACACAGTTCAAAGAGAACAACTTTTTTGTAGTTTACCGAACGGTTTATGTCTCAGAGACCAGTCCATAATCACAAGGCTTGTCTACTTAAAACGATCGGGGTTAGCATATCTGTGTCGTTATTATCCATATATTTAACTGCTCCTGTCAGCCACGGCAACTCAGTGGACAGCTGTTCGAAGGGATGCACAGAACCTACTACTTTAAGCTGGCAATCCTTAGGTTGAGAAAGATATCATCTTGGCATAATTTTAGCGCTTATATTGTGTCTAAAAGTTTTCAGATAGAGCGAAAGACACTGGGAGCCCGCGCACAGATAACTCCTGGCTACAGGAGTCATTGACTCTTTACTTCACTGACAATTCTAGTGGCATTTGTAAAGGTCATCCGAGCTACGTCCGGCATCGTCAAATTATACCTAAATATAATTGTATGTTGCCGTGATAGTGTTGTAGTAGCATATTAAATTTGCGTGAACTTAGAGAGATGCTGTAGGTTGAAATAACGCTAATAATGGTAAATGGTTTATCTATTTAGATGTATATATCGCGGTAGTTTGTATCTTGGTTCTTGTAGCTCCGCGTATAATCTTGCTGAATCACTGTACAGTTTAAATTTTTCTTTAAGTTGTTATGGCTATAAGTATATACCGTTAATATACCGTAATAAATTATTTACTTATTGACTGATTAGCGAGTTCTTGCTACGATTATTAACTAATTCATAAATTTAGTTAAGAAATCTCCGAATGCATCACCTAGCTTCTTTGTTTCTTCCTAATAATCAATGATTTCGTTTCCCATATTTCTTCTTGCACAAATACTGCATTAATTTATTTTTAAGTTATGCTTGTCCTAGTGTCCCTGTTATAAAAATGAAAAGTCGGTAGGCCACTTCAATAATATATAACTTTTTTCCTCCTGACAAGCTTTATGCGTTTTATGTGTTCAATCTCTGTTAAGAAGTTCCTGTTTGAATGCGACCATAGCTGGGTTATGCTATGTCTATATACTTGCATATATATCTAAGGGATGCCCATTATGTAAATAAATTGGCCCTTAAGACCGACAACAATTATGTGTTTGGAAACAAACCGAATCGTGCCGTATAGACAACGAAACTGTGAAGCATCAAACGAAGTAATAGTGTTTTGTGCTAGAAGTCACCATTTGAAATTACACAAGTGTAAGTTGAACGGTAAAAGCAGCAATGATGGACACGATAGCTTTTAAGTTAAATTCAGGCAAGCGATTGCTTTGAAAATAGTTAGCAATAGGCACTTCCACTTACTACAGTCCTAACAATATGTTGAACATGAGTTGAACGATTTTGATCGAAGTGTGACTGTTGTTGGGCTAGGGAGTACAACGATAAGGACTTACAAGCATCAAGTGCTTGTTCAGGTACATAAACGTTTGGTACTTCTCTCTGGAGTTGCCAATACTGTGCTTTGTAAAATATAAATTTTATTCCAACGGAACTGATGGGAAGATAATGGGCAGGTAAATGAAAACGTATTTTGTTTCATATCGTAGAGAGCAAACTTACTTAGGAAATGTAAGTAAAAATAAAGTGCTATAAGGTTAAAACCGGCTTAAGGTTCCAACAGGGATTAAGAGTCTGCATAATTTTGTCGGGAACTATCCCGTTTTCTGATACCAACCAATCTCCTACTTGGTCTAAGCGTTGGCTAGAGCGATAATTGACTGTATGGTGTATTCGTATGGAAACTTTTTGTCGTTTTTTTCCAACAGTGAGAAACACAACAGCCTAATGTACGATGACGAACGTTTTGAAGCAATGCCTCTACATTGCACTGGGGATATTTACAATGGTTACCGTCTTTATCACAATCTACACAATAGCGAAAACAGTTTCTTATGTAAAAGATGGGCATATGTATCAGCTAATGCGTCAGAAGATCGCTAAATTCGACCGCGGCGAAATTCGGAGAGCAACCTTGGATTACCTAATCGATCAGCCAAACTGTAAAATACCCGACTACCCGTATAATTCGGCGGAAGCCGAACATCATTTAAATCAGGTGCGAGCAAGATTATCAATCACGAAGAGCGATTCATTTTTACTAACTAGAAGGGATCCGATAGATAGGTGATAGTATCAAAATCGGTAATTTATACGAAAAAGGTTTTGGATACTTCACATTTATAAAGTTCGTTTGCGTTTTCTTCTTTTACTCTTAGGAAAAGATGTTTACTGCAAACCGAGATGTTTTTTTCTAAATCCGTCGCGAAATCTTCTGTTGTATAATCTACGTTCAATAGATTTGATTGGTAAATTTGGTGTTTAGAGCCCTATAGAAAGCGTATGAGAAACATCTTAATAACAAACCAATAATGTATTTTAACGCGCGTGTCTCTCTCTCTCTCGCGTTTCTTAGACTTTTTTTTTAGAATAATATAAACAACCAAGTATCTATACGGTGCAATGCTTTAAATCTTATTTTCCGTGTCAAGTTAAACTTGCGAAATTGAGACTCACAAGTTAGTTGAGCTCGAACTTGAACACCTTTAAACGTTAATTAAAACGGGCCTCTCTTAAACGACATTTAGCACTGTGTTATTTATAAACAGATAGAACAAAAATGCCAAAATCTATCTCGACTGCTACCTGGTTTTGCACGTTGCACGCAATGTTTCCTGGCCTGCATGTTGTTTTTTTTGGCACACAAGCGTAGAAGCGTCAAAACAGTGCTGCATTATAGAAGGAAAGATGAATGCTACACAACCCGTGTGAAATAAAGAACCGAAAAATATCTGTGGGAATCCCACTCGTCGTATGAACTACTACATAGGTACTTTATGCTTATTAATATTATCAGCAAGACGAATTTTTTAACCAAGAAGAGGGTCTGCGGTAAGGCCAGGCAGGCAAACCTATTCGATCGGCTTATGCTTTTCGCTGGTCCAAACTATTCAAGCTCAATGTCACGTAATGTTGTTTTCGAAACAAACGTATTATACGTTCCGATTCTTTCTATCTCTGTGCGATTACTTCGTTTATTCCACTGATAATATATTTTACTCTCCACGTGCTCTACCCTTTGAGCCAGATTTTTGTTAAAGGCAAACCCTCGATGCTCGCAGACTTATCTGTTCAGTTGTTTTGTGTCACACCGTCATGGGAGTTATGTTTGTGACAGCTACAGAGACTTGATGTTTGAATCGGTGAAGGGTAGATTCGCAATAGATCGCCGCTCAAAGCCCAATGGATAGTTGTAGCCGAGGCGTTGATGAGGTTCCAGCAGCTATAACATGAAATATATGATTGACATCACGCATGGTGCCAATGAATTACGCTAAATGACTAACGTATGTATACATTATACTGTGCTATGATCATATGTATAATTTTCATTGCTATAACTATCTGTACAGTCTTGTTTGGCCATTAGTTCATTCAGGTCATCCACGTAGACTTAACGTCCAGTGATAGCACTTACTACACACGTCTATGGTGAAAGCTTGATTTAGTCCATCTAAAAAAAACTGTTGTATAGCTTTAAGCTAATCACTATAAACATAATATTTACTTTTATACATTTCAAGTTATCCTTACCGGAAGCTTGCCGTGGGCCTCCATTTCTGTTTGAAAGTGTTATCTTTCCTGACATGGACAGCGCGTGCGTTGTCCTATATGATAGCCCACTTCAGCAATTCTACCCCGGCGTCCAAATGGAGCATCTAAAGTGTACCTACAAGGAAGTCCTTCGTGATACCAACCACGACATCATAGACAGCTATTTCAAGTTAAAATCAGCCGAAGATCTCTCGTTGCCAATCGCCTGCGTGCAGGCAGAATTCATTTGGATTTCCTGCAAAATAGCATTCAACAACAAGACCACCAAGACGTTCACTCAGCCAGTGATGATACCAAAGGTGAAGCCGCTTAAAGTACAAAGAAATCGAGAATGGTCCACGTCAATCAAGTTCGTATCCTCCTGTGATGAAATAGTACAAGTCAGTAATTTAGTTGTAACTGTAGAGCCAATTCAGACATAGAAGGCCAGATGCACGCCTGCATACCATAATTTTACATACATAAATCTTTCTATATCAAAACATGAACAAGAATTGTACTGAGGTATATTTCGTTTCCTCTTTGTTATTAAATATGACATCGTCGCATTACGGTCCAGCGAGTATTAACTATGTTCGTATCAACTTCCTACTCGTAATCGTAGTTCGTCAAGCAAGGGAAAAGCGCAGTTCAACGTTATTGTACTTGGAATCGATGCAATGTCTCGTCTCTCGTTATATAGAACAATGCCCCAAACGGTGAAATGGCTTCACTCTAGACCCAACAGCGTTGTGGAGCTGAAAGGCTACTCAAAAGTGGGTTTGAATTCGGCGCCGAACATATTCGCTCTGTTAACTGGCCGTAACTTCATAGCCGATCTGAAACCGCAGCTCGCAGGCTATTCCAGGTATCTATGATCTAATAACTGTCTAATAAATTATTCATTAATCTAATAAATTCATCGGTAATATTGCTGTATGCATTAAAAACGCACAAACAAGCCTGAAGAAGAAATGTACCAGGTTTTATGTTGTCAGGACAGAAACGCTGAGATCAGGACGTTGAAAAGTTGAAACCTAAATTCATTCCTGATGATAAGTGTAACAGTTTTCCCATTCTTTGCAGATCTTAAAATTCTTTTCATGTACTGAATGCAACAGCGTACGTGCATTATATAGAAAAAAATAATTTTGTGTTTCTAGGTATGTTGATGGTATAACAAGGTTTATTTGGGAAGACGCCGCTGATGCTGGATATCGAACGATGTTCCTCGAAGAGCAAGGCGAATATGGTATATTCGTCTTTCCTGACTTCAAAGGATTCAAGGAAGTGCCTGTCGACTATTGGCCAAAACCTTTCATGTACTCGGTCAATAAAAAAGCCAAAGATATGGGATTTTCCTATCACTGCATAGGGCCGAAGTTGAAAAGTAATCTATACTTGGATTATACCTATAGTATGTTGAAGCTTCATGGACCTCAACGTCCGATGTGGGCATTTACCTGGCTTTCCATATTAAGCCACGGGGGTGCAAAGGGAGGGGTCCCTTTAGACCAGCCAGTCTCGGATTTTTTCACAAAAATTGAAAACGAGGGCATCCTGAATCGATCTGTAATTATTTTCCTCGCGGACCACGGATTTCGGCACGGTTCGTTCCGCGAAACGGAGCAAGGACGCCTGGAAGACAGTTTACCCTTTGGCTTTGTGCTGCTGCCACCATCGCTTGTTAAGCAATACCCGTATATGCTAACTCAACTACAGCTAAACTCACGGCGTCTTGTAACATCATACGACCTCTACGAAGTACTGCGTGATGCCATTAATATCTCGCATTTACAATCGAATCATGTTAAGTCTCATTCGAAGAGTGGAATATCCTTAATTCGTGACTCGGTTCCAATCACACGAACGTGTGGGCAAGCCTGGATTCCCAATGAATATTGTCCGTGCAGCAAACGCGAATTATATAACAATACTAAGCTGGCACATATCATTGGCAATAAGGGCATTATTTTTTTGAACGGTATGTTAAAAAATGCCTCCGTCGACACCGTATCAAATGATACGCACGTCTGTTCGCCGTGGAGTCTTTTAAATGTAACTAGACTAACTTACAGCTCTATGCCGAACCACTTGGAGTTTCTGTTTCAAGTTAATATGATAGCTAAACCCCAAGCAAAGTTCGATATCACAGTAACTATAACCCGTTCTTCATGGATTCTGAATGAGGTACGCAAACGGCCATTTTCTTCACTATCTAATCTTAATGATCGAATATTGCAATATCCTCTCTTTCAAAGCAGAACTGATTTTTCACTTAACATTGTAAAGCGATCTCGGGAAAGTGCTTCATTTAAATCGTTTCTATATTGAAGTGGACGTTAGTCGCGCGTCGTTTACTTCAGTTGGCCACGACTCGTCCCTGAGTTTTGACTTTCTCGCTACCATGCTAAAGGAATAGCTCCGAAAGTTGCAAAAACACATGAGACGCTGTAGAAACTTCATATTTGAACCCCATATGCTGTATGAAATCATTTCGCCATGGATGAGCTTAATCATAAGCAACAAGTCTCTTGATCGTTGACAGCCTCATCTTTTTTGCCCCAATTTGAAATTTTTTTAGTTGTCCCCAAGCTACGCCTTAATCATACCAATTAAACACGGGCAGTGGTGACGGCCTTCAGCATTGTAACAACAGCACGTCCAGGACGTCTCTTCGTCCATAAAGGGCACGAGTATTGTGGGTCTATATCTCGTTGATGCAACAGACCGGAAAGCCAACTACAGACTCAAAGGAACATCACATACAATAATTCACATCAGGGCAGGTATAAACCTGCTATCCGTGGATCCAACGGGTGACCCACATAAACACAGCTATCCTGTAGGCTCCCTCGTAGTAATTTTTTGAGCAAAGGCTGAAAGTGGAATTGAAAACTGTCGTTTGTAGATTGTTGAGACTTGTTTCATCCTGTGTATTGCAGCTTCAGTGGACGAGCATAGTCAGATTCTAGCAGTAAGATTCAGTATAGCAGATTGCCGGTACTCCGGGGAACTTTTTCTCGACCAACCTTACCTTAACGTATTAAATGAGAGTATCAGCAACGAAGATATTAGTCAAAGTTACGCTTATTCTGTGAGGCAAATTAGTTATGCCACTTAATCGCTTCAGTTCCGCCTGCACTAACTTATAACGCGACAGAAATGACGCAGAAAGTTCGCTTTACAGGTAACCCGAATCGACCGTTACGGTGAACTGGCAGCTTGCGCCACCGGGCGGATTCAACAGTATTGCTATTGCATCGAGAAACCTGACAATTCAGGCAATACATCGACTCCGGATTAGGGCAGGAAATATTTTTATTCGCAAGCGTATGCTTAGCGCACTTTAATCATATTATTAGATACTCTGTACATAACACCAGAACTTGATAATATCGAGCCTAATAAAACTTACACATTATTGTAGTCTGGTCAAGCGTTGTGTGAAATGTTTTAAGACATTTGAAGCTTAATTATGAACACAGCAGACTAAAAAGAAACAAGCATTTTAGCTTAAATTTAATTAATTAATTTAATTTAAATTAATTTAAAAAAATTAAAATAACTCGTTAGTTGGTGCTTTATGCGGACTGCCAGACAATATTAACGATGCCTCAGCCAATCCGGTAATACTAATAAAAACTGGGCTATTCAAAACAAGAAACGTTCAGCAATCAAAATAGCCGGCGGACATCTTCGCCCGATCCGCTACTATTTGTCTCGAATACCAAATGGACGGGTTGATTCCACAGAAAGACGAAATAACAACATTCGTTGATTATTTAAGGACTCAGCTCGCCAATATCGAAAAATATCTGCGTCGCTGTAAACCAGTGCATTTTGCAGTTCCGCGCATACGTATGACGGCCTCAATTTCCGAGAAAATTACGTTTCGACATGACGGCTACGTCAACACAGCTAATAATTGTTATTCTTTTCGGCTCATCCAGAGTTCCGTCAGCTTTACTTCATACAATAGATGCTCGATTATACATCTATTAAATTTGCTAGGGATTCGAGCTGCTACACTGAGTTATATATCCATAATATAATATATATATATATGTATCTATAATATATATAGGTACATAGTAATTATACATAGTATCATAAAAGTAGATCCTATTCGTCCGTTAGTTCTATAATAGGTCTGTTCAATCTCAAGAGAGGAAAAATAGGGTTAGGTAGATGGTTTAAAAAAATTAGCTATTACGACAGACGAAATAGGACATCTTCTCTATCGGTAATGACTGTAGTTACTCTAGTTTTTTTTTACTTCGATATACCTTATGCGAATGTTAACACTTTGTGTTTTCACTTTATTACGGTATTAACAGATCTAATAGAAGTTGATTTCAATTGAAAACAGTGTAGATAAAGGGTTCGATAGGTAACCAACAAGCAGCATTACTAGGTACAATATACTGTTTATTAACCCAATTGTATGTTATTAAAATAAACTTTGAACCTTTTCGACTGTCAATAGCCGATAACAACCATGTGAACATAGGTGCATAAGACTCCACCCGAAATCTAGTTTAAAGATGTCCATTTAATATTCCATCCGTCCGGCATCACAGAGATGGATAGCTGTTGATAGCAGGACAAAACGTGTACGTTCTGCGGTGAGATGACTTCCAGTTGTTCCGTGGTAACTCCTCATCTGTTATGCAGCAGAGAGATGTCAATAACATACTACTGCCCCATTCAAACCGATCCAACAATTCACGCGCATGGCGCTGTGTATTGGTGACAGGGGGCAAAAATATCTATCCTGTCACAATATCACTTTGATCACAAAGATGTGCCCTCTTAAGACATACCGATTTCATCTTAAAGTTGTGTACTTCTGTCTAGGTTTATGTAACCTGCGGTTCTTCGCGTTCTACCTTTTATATCGTAGCTAAGGCTTCAGTTTGCAAGAATAACAAACGCCCAGTTCACTGGCGAAACATCTCTCGCAGATATTTTATCTTAATTAATAGTTTATCACCGTATATATAATATTGTTGCTCGAGGTAATATAAGAAATCTCCATTGTGCGTAATGATTCCGTGAAAGAAATACAGTTTCAAATCCTTTCCTATTGACGACGCTAGAAGAACACGGAGGATTGTAGGAAGACGTTCAAGCTATCCGAGTGCTAGCCTATCACGACTGACACAGTGAGCCAATGAAAAAATCAGATTTTCATATAATACAACGCCAGCGTGTATTATTTTATTACACCATAAGATTAATTTTTGCATCATATTGGTTTAAATAATTTAACAATATTTGCATACGTAATTTTTTTACATATTGAATCATTTTGTACTAGATGACACAGAACGAGGTCATTGGCTGGCCATCAATTTCTGCTTATGTTCATCTGACCATTTGGTAACACTCGGATTATCAGTTGATATGCTGTTTCCGGGATAACCTGGAGCGCGGAACGCAATTGCTTCTCGTGATTCCTAACTTTATGTTATGGTTCGGCGATGAGAAACGACGGTTTCGGCATGAGACCAAAGATTAAAGTCTAAAGAACTTTCAACAAAGTTCCTTAGACTATAGTCCTTAGAGGCTCAGGTACCATTGAGTAGATACCACAGGAATAATTGTGCTTTGATTGTTCATGCTCTGCGATGTACTCAACACGGGGAAACGACTTATAGCATGTTAGGCACATAAGCAATTATTTCACCACGTTTTCCTATGGTTAACGAGCGCGGTTTTTTCTGACGCACATCATCAATTTGGGCACCTGTATAAATTTTGAGTGTGAGCATTTAGAAACGCATATATCGCTCTTTAAATGCTAGGCCTAGGTAAGTATGAAATCGCAACCTTGAAACAAACAATTGAACGATTTCAGTTTGGCAATAACTACTAGAGAGTGTGCAGCTATTGAAGTTTACCAAAGCGAAGTCAGATAGAGCTATATAGTAAAGTTAGGCATTGGGAACAGTTTCCATGATAGCTTGTATTTGCTTCCTTGTATTGTACATTGTTATTGCTAATCTTGTGATCTAACGTTGTGATCTAGGTTCAAACCCGGACATAGACAAACTTCATATCGTAGCGGCGATACTGGACGTAAAACCCGAAACATAAAGACACTAGACAGATATCGGCACAGATTATATTATCGAGATATTCAGATAGTGTCGATAAGCCTAAGTCAAATATCTAAATCGTATAAAACTCGGCGGTCTTTTAACATACACAGCAACCGCAGCGTTAAATCGAGTTACTAAAATTCCACACCTCGTTTGCTTGTGTCACAATAAATCAAGTAGCGCCTTAAAAAAATGCGCAGCTTCAACAAATCTTAAATAAAATGTACGCATTTGTTCATGGTATTGTGTTGGCATGGCAAGGTTGAAACGTTGTAGCGCGAAATACGTTTCAGTTTTGAACTTCAATGGATTTAATGAAGGGGACACAAACTTGCGAAGATAGCAACATCACAACTTACGTACCTACACAACATAACTTTGCAGGCTTTACAGGCCATAGTGCCCACCACTTATTTACAACCACATTGTGCGGATACACGAATCAGCTTCTCTTGAAAAACTGAAAACGTTCGTTATAATCGGATTGCATCGCCCGCACATGGCTTAAGATCACAAAGCGAATAAAATATGGCCGTTTACAATAAAAGCGGTAACCAATTCGAGATAGTCATATTTCAGCTACGTCAAATACTTTTCTCTTCCCATACAATAAGCAACTAATAGGGGAGTTCTATGAAAAATACATTTAAATACAATTTCATCAAAATAAATCGGTATTTGACATTCTCCAACAGTTTTTGCACTCGCAAAACCGATGATTTTTGAAAATATTATGAGCATCGCGTTACTAAAAATATTCTTTAAAATTTCTAGTAATTTACTCGGGCCATCTACCGAGCCCAGAATTCACTTTGTGTATATCTACTTCATAAATATGTAGTGCGTTTCATTAATATTTCAAGTTCAAAAAATCTTTACATATATGTAGGTTAAACATTTCAAATTCAATAAATTACCCTATAGACGAACAAGCAGTTTCCGACACTTTTTTAATTATTTTGTAAAAGCTGTTACAGAGGTACATACCATTAAGTTGACATGCTGTCTCGGTCACGTTGTTGAGTCATATTGTTATACAACTGCTACAAATTTGAATCAATTTTTCCCACACGAATGGCTGTATATACTTTCAGATCATATTGTGTATTTTTAACAACACACACACACACACACTACGCTCTGAAAAAGCGGATAGAAACCGTTCTGGAAAAGCAAGCTTAGCGATTTTGATTGTACAATAAAGAAAAGTACTCCATTACCTTTAGGCTCTTTCATGCTGGTTACAACTTTTAAATTGTTTAATTTTGTTCCTTTTCTTAAGCTAGCGAGTTGTAAGCATCCATTGTGAGCGTTGCGTGCTACTTTATTTCATGAAAGAAAACCTTAACTAGAACTTATTTTTTATACTTTATTTAAAGTTCGTTGGTAGCGAAAATAGCAGTGGACGCATTTCACAAATTGTTGGGCATAACACTTCAGCATGTGAACAGTAAATCCCAATCGGTACGCGCCCGAAGCAATCAAGAGTCTGGTATTCCTATACGTGCCGTTCAGAGCCATGATAGCAGGCATAAACTTGTGATACGGGCGTACGTCTTCGATGCTGTAGATATACTGACGTTCGTCCCCCATTGGACTTAAGCGAGTTTGAACGGTAGCCGTGAGAGCTGTTCAGCAGTTACACAAGTCAGCGTTAAACTTATGTCTTAAGTAGTTTTGGACGTTATTTAAAGCTACTTAAACAGCATAGAGCTGTTTATCGCAGTCGAGCACTACTAATTTAAAACGCGCAAAGTATACACCGATAAGGCGAATATTTTTTGGAAATGTCTAGGCTAAGCGATTTTGCCCAGGTAAAATTTGAGTATTCATTTTAATCGTAATTAATTTTTATACTGACACGTCTTCAAATACGCAAACAACTTCTTTATCCTCTTTATATATTTTACTATCGGATATCATATATAGCTTTCAGATCCCACCTAACTTTGACTAGAGAAATACAAAGGATACTATCGTATTTTATGAATGAAGAATGATCACCGGAAGAATTATCCTTCTATAAATATCCTCCCAATAATACTTGGTAATTGCTTAATAAGTTCAATGAAACATCACTCAGTACCATACGTTATCACCGCATCAGTTATGGAGGCCACAAGCCTGCTGTGCGTTCCGCATATAGATACATACATAAGCAGAAAGAACTTTTCGACGCGGGTGCAAAGAAAGGTAGCTGTGGTACGCTGGGAACAACATAGGCTTCTAGCAAAGAAAGGCGCTATCGTTCATCATAGCAACGTTTGGACACGTATCGCAAGTCGAAAATGTCGCGTCTTAATTTTTCGTACTCCAGGCAGGACATTTTTATAGACGCAATATTCATTCGTTGCCCAAAAAAATGGTGCAGGTGCGTTTCATTTAAGCGAAACGATTCTTTTTTGTACAACTTACTAGGCTGTGTGTTCTTTTGCGGTACCTGCAATTGGGTAAAACGGCTAGAGCTGCCGATACCCTTACGTCGTCCTAGCTTGGAGTGAATGACCTAATTTGTCTAAATCTACGATAGAGCATACAGTTCTTGACTTAACGCTTGTGAGCTTTCCACTTTAATTTACCCTGCAACATGGGCTATTTTTGTACGCAGAGATCACTGTCCACGTTGTCTTAAGCCCAACTGAAAGTGGGCTATGAATAAACGTTTCATAGACGGTGTGTCTTGTACAGAAGAACTGGTTGATGTCATGTTATTGGAAGTGAGCGTGCACCTTATCGTTGTTGATTCGGTCTCGGAAGGTATCGTTAGCTTTTACGATGCCTACGGACATCCATTTTATCAATCGATATAGCGAAAAGTGAGGCTTTACGCCATCGTCACGAATGCTCGCTTATCAGCCAGTGGCTACAGGTAGTTCTATGGTTCAATACAGTATCGATTAAATAATGAGGTCAAAAACGGTCTTTCATCTCACAACTGATAGAAGACCATATGCAATGCAGTTGAACTCTGAACTGCGAGAACATTGCAGATTCAAAGTGTATCGCTTCTTATGTATACTATAAGGTTATTCAGCTCGCTCGCTGTAATACATAAATTGTGGCTCGTTTATCGATCCCTTTATTCAATGCAATTTTTTAATGCTCTAATTCATTATAGCTTCGCTATAAATATACGGCTTAGGCAAAAATTTCAATTCTTGGATAAATGATGTGGCAAGATCTTCACCGGTTTTAGTAGTCTATAGTTTGGCTCGTCTGTTGCTATAAGTTGGATATTTTTTTTCTATAGCCTAACCATGATAGGATACAGTTATTTGATTCGGGGATTATTGTACAGGAGAGACTGAATCAGCCTAAAACTTTTCGAGGAAGCAAGTGGTTTAGATTATGCTTGTAGCCGATATAAAAATAGCCTGGTTAGCAAACAGTGATAGGTACGGTTCGTCCATGAAGCACCGGCATTTCATGCGCATCTGCAGGATCAAACATGGCGCCGATGTCTATATAGTTATTAATCTGTTTATATAGACGAAACCCTCTGCCTGCTTTTGCCAGATCAGAATATTTATATCTTAATTTGCTGCCATTTCCCAAATAAATAATTCCTGTTTCATGTGTAGTACTACCATTGAACGTTGCCTCTGTCCACTGACTTCTAACTCGTAACAAAATGTGTTGAAATTGAAATTTTCAGGCATCGTAACATACACTAGAGTGCATATAATTATTTTAAAATTTAAAAAAGGCAGAACTATTAACTACATTATTTATACTATGTATTAGGAAAGAATAACTCACACTATTTACCGAATGTCTTTTAAGCGATTTGTGGCTTCATAGTACAAATCACACTTGCTCACGGCATCGACATAATTTCGTATTTGCCACTTAATTAACCAATACAAAGTAAATTTTTCAACTTCGAAATCAAAAGGTGTTCGTAGTATGACAGTCTAAAAAATAAAAAAAATACTACATTTACAAGTTACATCGATCACAAATGAAAGCAAAGGCGGAACCACAGTCGAAATGATGGGATGAGATCCATTATGTAAGACCATTGTGAACGATCTTCAATTATTAAAGGAATCATTTCTATAGTAGACGTGCGAAGCCTCCCGACGCTTCGAACTCGATAGGTGATGGCTTCCGTTGGGCACACTGTTGTTTACAGGATTAGGATTTGAATAGGTTCCTGAAAAACATTACAAACCCAAGCTACGTCATACTAATAATTTAATTCATATCTGATTTGCGGTTATGTTAGCAAAGTTATCTCCAAAGTTAGCAAAACATGAGTTTTAGACCTACGTCAAATAATGAGGTAGTACTTTACTTGCCCTATAATTATTTGAGACAGCATAATGTCATTATTGCATCTTAACTGATTGAAAGCGCTGATTGTAAGGCAGAATAGAAATATTGCAGGACATACCGTACTTCGCACTAAGCCTTTTCTCAGTCACGATTGACTGAAAAGATACTATTATTTTTCCTACCCTGACAATACTGTCCGCAGCTAGGTACATCATTGCCATATATGCTCTTTCTGATAATTACGTCATTTCGCGATCAGACTTTCGACTAGCGAGACCAGACGTTTGGGATTATCGTTCAGTTCAAGGTAACCATGACCTTGTCTGTATCCTAAACACGAAAGAAAAGCTATGATAATTGCAATTTTTCTCATTTTGCCATTATTTTGTGTCATTTGTCTATTAGCCCTGGCAAAGGGTAGAACTACCGTTTTAGCCGTTGTGTTTGTCTCAGTTAGAGTGCTGCGTCGCGGGGCAAAAAGTGATTATTGCCCGCCGCGAGCTACATGTCCGCGACGTTGGTCAGCATGTTACGTCGCAACGTGTAGTTTGTTTACCGTTCGATTTTTCTTCATTTTATACACTTCAGTAAGTTATTCCGTCCAATAATGCAACGATACCACATAGCACGACACTATACAATAATTGAAAATCACTTTTGTTCAGCACCAGCGCGTAATTCTCTCACGTTCGATCATGTGATACAAAGCCATTCTAACTGGCCTAATAATAACTTTACATCTTTTTAACCGTCATCACCTCACGTGAATCGCGGATACGAGTCCTGAATAATATGGATGGATATATACATATATATAGAAAAATCGCAAAATGTAATTTATTTTAATCTATAGCCGAACTTTGTTTTGCTTTCTTGATAATTAAAGCCAATTCGAAATAAAAGTGATGGACTGGACGTGCCCTTGATTGGACTCATACTACGATTATGATTGTTGCCTGCCATCGGGAAACGTACTTATCAAGTGCTTTACTCTTAATCATCTTGATTTTAACCCATCGAGCAAAATTGTTATTATATTAGAAATCGAACGTCTCTACTCTCTTTATATAATAATACCAACCTGCGCCAACTCTCGTATGGGATCGACTAGATCGGTACGATTCAATGGAAGAATTAGTTTACAACCTTCTAGTTACATTAACTGGGGGCCTATGCAAGATGCAATGGAATGGATCAAGTCAAATTTCCAGCGATCCCATCTGATTTAGCCTAATATATTTACTACTAATAATCATTTTTCGTTTTCATTTTTTTGTGGATTTTATAAGTTGAAACACTATAAATGCGTTAAGGTATTTTTGACGCCCACAATAGTTCAATTCAAAGTTTGTTACGCTAAGTTTACCTATCGTAAACCTAATAAAAGACTTAAACAACATATATATATATTATATAAAGTCACAAATTGAGACCTTATCAAACGCGACCGTACTTACGTGCAGAACGAATACTTTCATTCTTCTGCGGCTTAGTTAACTACCAAGGCATCGCCGGAAATGTCTGGCATACCATTCCATATATTTCTTTAGCAAATTGAATGCACGGTTATGTATGCGTGATGTACGTATGCGGCTGATTACGTTGAGATGATTTTTTTTTTTTGCGAAATACTTCGAAATTTGAAATGGATATGATTGATCACAATGTCGTCTTAGACTGTATCGTATGCTCGACGGCTCGCAAACGGATAAAGCTTTTATAAGCTATTTTTTCACTCAAACTCTCTCCTAAACCTGCATGACGAGTTTATAGGTAGGTTTATAATACAGTCAATACGCAACAAGTAGTATCAAGTCGAAATGTGGAACTCAAACATCACAAAAACTGAGACGGGGGTAAGGCAGATCCTTTGGACCAAGGCGTGTTCAGAGATGCTATAATTTAAGAACTTTCTTGTACTCTATGTAATTAAATGTTTTCCAGTAATAAACGATATTATTAGTTAGCTTTATGGTTCTATACAAAATGGTAACGTGCATGTGAAAAGAATTGCCTTTTGTTAGCATGAATATGACCGGAGATTTAAATTGCAGGCACGTTTCTATAGTCAAGTTCCGTTTTGAAGTCCACTTGCAGCTACAAATCTGGTACAAAAAAAATGTCTTTTACGTATTTGAAAAGCTTTGGTGTAAGATGTCAACAGAAGATATACTAAAACATCAGCTCACATATGATAGGTGGTTTAAAACCAATGAAGTTTAAATTAGTTATTATTAAATTAGAGGAGCTTGAAAATTGTGTTTTTGATAAACACATAACAATATTAGAAGGCGTATTTTTATAGTTGTTGCTATTTGTAACCAGTTGAAAGTCATAGTATAACTGAGTAAGCTGCTTCGAATGACTGAATTTGCTTACTTAGACGGTTACTATTGTAAAAACGGGCATCGAGAACGGAGTTAAATTCGGAGGATGAATGTTAGTAATTGATGTTAAAAGATATACTAAGAAGAAAATAAGATCGAATCAAAAGGGTTAATTTAGCTTTCTGACATTTGGGCCACTAGGCATCATTATGTAAAACGGCCTTATACAGTCTGTCTATGCATTAACAATGCAATTACCATTACTCGTGATTGTCAACTTCTCAATGGTTCCGCAGTTCGTGTTGACGTTACAAATGTGAAAACAATCGCTGTTGATCCCATCCAATCATATTTGAAATGCAGAAGCTACCAATTGAGTTTCCCGAGTTCCGCGGCAAAGAACGTCCCGTAACCCGAAACAACGTCGGCATATTAGAACCGCCATTATCACAGCATAAATTATACAGCCTCGAATTTCAGCCTAATATCGCTTTCGTAGTGAGACAGCTAAACGTACCTGTAACTAACGTTGCAATTTCTCTACAACGAAAAGGAGTCGACAGTGGCCGAACTGCTTACAAATAGCACCTGTGTGGGTTTTCCTAAACAGGCCCGTCCTTTCGTTCCCTTCTCGCCTTCCATGCGGAGCCTGGCGGCTGGAGTGGAGCAAATTCTGCTAGGTTTTTGCTCAGCCTCTCTGTTGCATGCTGCTACGACGGATGCTTCATGTTCGTCGGAGGCCGAGAGGAGGAGAGCCTTTTTCTATCATCTGCTGGATCACGCCTTTTGTTCCAAAGCCGTCTATGGATAGGTAGGCTCGCCGATAGCATACGTACATATGTGTACAGTGGGCTATGGAAATAGCTTGTTGTTAATACGTGTTTGCTGTGAACTTCCATCAAGCAGCGTACCAGTAACCAGCATTTTGCTTTTTTGGTCCCATTCTAATTGTGACTCCCTCATATTCGAAGGAAACGGTTGATTGTGTTTTTCGCAAGAGTTAACTCGGATAGAACGTTTTTGGGTTGCGCTATCTGATCAACCTAATTTGCTGCCTGTAGGGACGAATCTGATGATACATTAGAGTCATATGCTACCCTCTAATTAGTGGATACGGAGATCTAATCGTTCATATTATATTACATATGGTATATACGTGGGAGATACTGTCGTGTCGTGAAATATAATTCGATGCCGAAATAATATTTATTATCTCTTTATTCAGTACTTTTAAACTGTACGGATGAGCACAAAGGCATATTCGTTCCTACTCGAATAGCGAACTTGCCTTTCCTACGTAATCTATGCCATAAAAACTAACCATTACCGTTCATTGTAATAATATAATCAGAATCATGATGTTATACTTTGTTTTTTTGCTTAGAATTTGCGGCCGACCTCGTTCGGACAGGCCGTGAAAATAAGTTCCAGCATCGAGCGGGTGGAAATCTTACATTCGGTCTTGACTTATTCTAAATTCTGAAGAACAATGATGCTCGATTACGATGAGAACTGTTTCTACGAGGAGGACAAAATGTAAGTGCCTTCATCTTGCACTTCGTTTTATCACCTCTAGTTTTGTATCCCTCGTAGCTGTATTACCTCGTGTTTGTGTATTTACAAGCCAACTAACTTTTTCTCTAACTTGGAAAATTGCGCCTAAATTCAGAGACGCATTTGTCTGACCTAGTCACCTTCTGGATCCTGTGTGTCTATGTTACTGTCTGTGAGTTACAAGTTTTTTAAGTGAGTTATAACATACATGCGCAAATGCGATATAATTTCATTTAGTCTTGCCGGACCGTTGAATTTCCCTACCTAGAAAAATCAGATGTGCTTGTGCTACCATTCAAGGATTAGTGCTTCTTTGCAAAGTTAGACTAACAAGAATTTTTTCCAGCTGTTGTTTTCCTGAAAAGTTACACGCAGGCCTTCCATGACCTCGAACCGTGAACGAATAATTGCATCTGAAGTGGAGTGCCATTTGAGAATGTGAAAAGTTAGGGAGTCTGTTATAGCCTTGTTTTGTATTTATAGAGTGCATGCACCCAATCTAGTTCACTAACCTTATATATGTATATAAGGTCAGTAAACTGTGGTATGGAAGCGTGCAACTTGTACAAGATGTGTTATGTTTTTATATTATTATATATGACTTCACAAGTATGGAATTCTTTTAACGCGAGAAGGCCAATATATTTCATGCAATATTTACCGCTTCGCCCGGTTCCTTCTATGTAACGCTAAAGGAACTGCTATGGTAAATCGATAATTCTAAGATACTTAATCTTAAGATTTGAATGCTACTGCTATTTTGGCACAGTACCGATTGGTAAGTGGTCATTACCAACAAGTATTAGGAAGAACGCGTGCTTGCTCTCATTATGCTTGCCAGAGTTAGTGGCTTACACATGCTCACAACGCTACAATGGTGGGCCTAAGTTTGCTAATTATCTATAATATATTAATTATCAATTACCATGAAAGTCTCTTCTAGTTACCTATCAGCGGCAAGCAATTAATCTCATATGAAAGAGTAGCGGAAACGCTGCATTTAAGCATCCATTTATGTAGTCACCCCAGCAACGATTGTGTTAGAGCTGGGGGGTCTCACAGCTATGCAAACCTAATGTTTATGTTACCGCTCTCTTTAGATGACTGACCCATCTTTGAGGCGCGTTCATTATATTTATTCGATTCTATTTATTTATTTAACATTTTATTATTATTACACGTCGCAAATCTTGCTGATTTTTTCAAGCTAATCTGCTGCAAATAGGCCATCATTACGGCAGTGTTTATGCGGGAAATGGTGGCCTATGGGCCTTCAGCATTAAATCCAATGGTGTGCGGCCGTATGAAATAGATCTTTTCGTTTCTCTAAATAAGAAATTTGTCAGTATTCGTGATTGTGTTTTAAATATTAGCTTTCACTTAATTCGCTTTTATCTAAAAATACGGCGTTAATTCACTTCGACACAAACCTCCTGCCGATTGCTGGGTTGTCAGGGAGATTAGCTCGACATTATGTTAGCAATGTCATTGCAATCATAGCAATGTCATAAAATCAACGAGGGAAGTATATGCAGATGGCTGCAGAATCTCTCGCAGTATTTCTATTTGTATCTTTACTATTTTGAGTATTTGTGACAAACAACTATAATCTAAGAAAGCTTAGTTACGATCAGCAGATTAAGTGCGACGTTTCTGTCGATTGAAGTGTTCTAAGGACGAGCGACCTCATATCTCGCTTCATGTTCGTTGGCAACTATTATAGACGCCTTTCAGTTTGTAACATAGTAGCACGAACTAGCAGATGTTTTTTTCGTTGCGTTGAATACACGTAGATTATAATCGAAGAGAAGCCTTACGAATCTTTGGCGCCGCCGTTTCTAGCCTAGACAATGTTTATCGTACTGCCATTTACTCACTTACTTTTGCTGAGAATATTCTGTTTTTGGCGAACGTCAAAGAATGACTTTTGTTTTCAAGTATTTTATATGTTAAGCCACTGTACTGATCACAAGACATCAACCTGCTGATAGATTTTACGGCTATATCTACTAAAAAGTTTACATAAATAGATTGTGTTCTCGACAAAGCCAAGCAGTGTTTTCATACGCCGTTCATATTGCTTTCTACACGCAGTTCTTGAGTTTTTCGACATGTATATGGTACATGTAGGGTTAATAGGGTTGCAACTACGTGTGTTGTCCTGAGTGCCAATGTACTGCTTGGTTTCACATTGTGTGTTTGCCTCATGATGCTTCTCTCGTATCTCCTTTCTCTCGTATGAATTATGTTTGCTTATATTCATATGAATTGTTCTGTTTTTGTATTTATTTTCATCATTGCTGACCTTTGATTTTGTATTATTTGTTTGCTTGTTTCCTGTGTTTGAAATATGCCTGTATATTTGGTATTCTATGATCTCGCGGGCAGCCCTCGTCTTCATAAGGAGTTAAGTTAAGGAGCTGAACGATGATTACGTCAACCTACCGATTCCAGTTGCTGCCGCCCGTCGATAGCGGACCTCAGAGGACGATTATGTTTGAAGACCCAATGTATACACTATTAATAACTGCACTTTCCTTCTCTTTAGACATACGATCTATTAACGTGCTGTTTCGCATGCTAATCTAGACACTAGGCTAGAACTACTGTAGCCTGAAATATGTATTTTCATATAGACTAGTTCGGTATTTAGCTTTGTTTTTTTCTTTTTTAATTTTTTCTCTTAAATATCTAAAAAAATATTGTGTTTTTAGTTTATAAAAAATAATGGGTTTTAGATGAAATTTTGTGGGTAACTTGTGGGTACGCAGCTCTTACGTTAGAGCGGCGGTGCCGGACATGTTTGAGTTTACGAGATTTTAAATTCCATGCGAAATTTACGAAGTCTGCGCCGGAATACTTGGTATTTAATGGCCATTATATTCTATTGCAGGCTGATGTTAGATGCTTTTGTGAAACGCTTCTGCATATTGGTTTTAGTTGTATAAGATAGCTGAATATGAAAACAACGGCTAATGTATTTCACGAGGCCAAGTATTACAAAGTGTTTTTTGGCTCACATGAAAACCCCAAAGGGCGAAGAAATTGTCTAGTGAATCATATAAAAGATTTTGTCTGCGTGCGGAAAAGCCTAGGTCATGAACTAGGGCGCAATCGCGATAACAATAGAAGAGCATAAGAACATATCGGTTAAGCCCAGGAGAACTAGTCTTTGACTTTCCATAAAGTCAAAGACTAGTTCTCTTCAAAGACCCATAAATACAAAACCAGCAGTATGCGTTCAAGTAAGTGAAGGCTGCGGTTCACGTCAGTGGGTCAATTAACGGTCGAAAGAAACCAAATGGGCCTAACTCAAGGCAACATGAAGGCGATAAAATGTTCAATGTTGTTGGAAAGATTTGTTGTTTCGTTGAAAGTGGGAGAATTTATGAAACATCTGTAATAAAGTTGTTTTCAGGCATTTTGCTACCAGAAAAAAAGCTGGGGCCTTCTTGTTCCACTATTCATATGATGTACCGTAATTATTATTGCAACATACTTACATTGGTTTTATCGTAAGGACTTCATAGTGCACGCCTTAGTGGATTATTCGAGTGGATGGTGTTTCCACATCGTCTAAACGTAGTAGGCTTTGTGTTTGCTTGGTTTATAGCGATCAGTTGATTGTGTAGTTGCAATTTTATAGACATGCGATACTGCCCAGCGGGCTTTTTAGTGGGCCTCAGGTTAAATAAGTTAACGTATTGCGTATTATACTAAAACAAGTGTAAAAGCTTAAATTGAAAAAACATGTATAAAGTATTTCTATGTACAGTTAGGACTATTGGCAATTAACTTTACAACGACAGAAAATTAGTATTTCGGTTAGCTCTACTTTGGCTGCTTCTCGTCTTATTACAGGGGGATGACAGTAACGTCAGGATCGGTGACGTTGAAAAAAGATGACAACAATCTCATCGGGATCTCAATTGGAGGCGGAGCTCCTCTTTGCCCCTGTATCTATGTTGTGCAAGTATTTGATAATACGCCTGCTGCCAAGGAAGGCACTTTGCAAAGTGGCGATGAAATCGTTGCTGTATCGGGGAAGAGTACGAAAAGCAAGACGAAGGTAACTATCTATCTTAGATACATCGCTCTACTTGGGCCTTTGCGTTCACACACAGGCCAACCGTCTGGTCTGGACAGAGAGAACACTGCTGAATGAATAGGAGCATTGTAATTGATTTGAGAAAATCAACTGACGGCAGCTTCAGTGGTCTAGTTACCTGTCAAGGGAAGCGTACCTGATCAGGCAGCAAAACCGAACACGTTGATTAACAATTCGTTGTTTCACTAACGACAATGAATTTTACCGGTAGGTGGAGGTCGCCAAGATGATCCAGTCGGTAAAGTCAGAGGTCACAATCAACTACAATAAACTGCACGCTGATCCAAAGCAAGGGAAAACGCTTGATATTGTCCTGAAGAAAGTCAAACATCGGATTGTTGATAATATGAATTCATCCACAGCGGATGCTCTCGGCTTAAGCAGGGCGATCCTCTGTAACGGTATTCTACCTTCTGATAATACCGTTTTAGTACGAATACTAGAACGTATGAACGCTATACATTTATTATTTGTTCACGGATTGAATTGTACGCTCAATAGCTACTAATTAAAAATACTACTAGGCATTAAGTAAGCGTTGTATATATTTCGATCACTTGCAGATAGCCTAGTGAAGAAAATGGATGAGCTTTCCCGTAACGAATGTATTTATCGAGGTCTAATGGAACATACACATCGAACGTTAAAAGCGTTTTTTGAACTCTGTCATGTGTACAAGCAGTTCGGCGATGTGTTCGCAGAAATTGGTGTTCGAGAGCCCCAACCGCGTGCGTCAGAAGCATTTACCGAGTTTGGCGAGGCGCATCGCTCCATTGAAAAGCACGGAATAAGGTTGTTGAAAACGGTACGACCAATGCTTTCTGATCTACACACGTATTTGCATAAAGCTGTACCAGACACCAAACTTACGGTGAAAAAGTACGCCGATGCTAAATTCGAGTATTTATCGTACTGCCTTAAAGTTAAAGAGATGGACGATGAGGAGTACGCATATCAGGTAATTGTTACAATATATAGTTTTATGAAACTAAAATATTCTATTAGAGAAAGCAAATTTAATCTTAAATAAAGATTAAATTAAATTTTTAAAACGAACCGACTAATATTAAGTGCTAAAATACTTCTATAAATCAAAAAATACCTAGTTCAACTAACAGCTATCTACAGAGGACGCCTTCCATACACCAACGTTGCCAATATTATTCTCACGACATACGTCCATCGTCTATTCACGCTGGCGTGTGCAGGCCAGCTTACTGAAGTTAGTCTTGTTAAAAATTATTTTTATTTTCATATAAATATATAATGTAACCTTTAAATATATATGAAGAGAAATAAATAAATATAAAAATTATTTTGAAAAAAATCTTCGTCGGATCGCAGGCACTGCAGGAACCGCTTTATCGTGTGGAGACGGGTAATTATGAATACCGGTTAATCTTGCGGTGTCGACAAGAGGCAAGAGTTCAGTTTGCCAAATTGCGAGCTGACGTTCTTGTAAAGTTGGAACTTCTCGACCAAAAACACGTGCAAGATATTGTCTTCCAGCTACAAAGATTAGTGTCTGCATTAGCCCAGTATCACACAGATTGCTGTGACGCTCTGAACGGCACGACGATATTTCCCATAGAGGTTGATCTTAGTAAGAGCACCTTCCACTATCAGGACTCCAGCCAACCCAGTCCCTATCAGGTAAACCCACTTCATTTCCGTAGCTTTTGTTTGTAGTTTATTCTGTAGTTGAAAAGTTACTGACTTCAGCAAGACAAGTTTGTCTAGCTCCCAAACATGGGAAGACCTCTACGTTCAAGCTTCAATTAGCTTTCTAGTTATTGTCAACATGTTCCAAAGATGACGTTAAAGTGAACTTGAATTCATGTCTGAAAATAAGTCAGCAATTAAGAGCGGTCAGATTTTCGAATGCGATATTATAAACCCACGGGAAAACCAAACTAGAAACGAAGAAATACATACTATTCATGCCTCTCTATGACGCACAGTACTCAGACGCACGCTATGTTGTGCACTAATCAAGCGAAGATATCCTTTTCGAAACAAATACACTTTATTTCTTAGCCACGGACGGTACATACTCAGCTCTTCATGTTGTTTCAGATATTATACCCATTTACCTATTAATTTCTTTTCTCTTCTGCACAGTTGAGAAAGTAGATGAATTTATGCGTATCGTGCAAAATTGTCATATGGACCAAAGCTTCCCAAAATGCTCTGCGAGTAATCACATATGACATCTATAATCTATTATTGGAATATATTTGGCTGGTTGCTGTTGGGAACGTAATAGTGAAGCTCATAGCTCAAGTGCAACTGCACTCAGAGAAAACCTTCAGCTCGATATTGAATATCATAGTGAAGCAACAAAAAAACGAATATAAATCTATATTAGGTGAACAGAAAGTGGTGTGTCTACGCGATGTGGAGTATGCTTGAACTGTGTTATTGTGCAGGTCGCTTGATAACAGATTTCATTGAGAAATCCAAAACGCGTAGGCCAAAAGGAAGTTACAATGTAAAAGTTTTTTCAAAAAAATCGGTAAAATCAGAGGCAGTCGCAAGTTTTTTTTCGTCATCCAGCGAAAAGCAGTTGAAGCAAATTAGGGGGAAACCCTACTTATCTCGTTCATTCGTGTTACAGGATGGAGAAGAAGGCAGCGAAAGTGTTGATGAGAAATTAGCCGATGATAACGACGTCGATATACCACGAGACGCTTCATTGTCCATTGAAACCAGTGATGGGCAATCACGGACACCATCATGCAACTCACATAGTGTCCAGTCGTTCAATCCACCTACATCAGGTGACCAGATTATTGATACGCTAGCGTCACTTAATCAGGAGTTCGCCGAGCTCGGACGGGTCGAACTTGGTGCTAATGCCGGCATGAGCTCCACACTCGGAGACCTCACTGCTCTCGGCAGCGAAGTTGGCCTGGATAATCAGCATAAGCTAGACCTTTTCTCGGTCCTCCAGAGTGGAATGTCGATAGCTCCTACACAGACCAATGGTTCTAATATTGCGCACCCCACAACTACAATGGGTCCACACCCGGCCGAGTTGCCAAAACAGCCACTTTTAGATCTATTGGACTAAATGTTAGTGTATGCGAAAGGAATCTGTATAGGGGAGAGTGAATATGGTTAACTAGCGAATTATATAACTTTTTAACTTTGTGACAGTTATAAACTTATCACCAATAACATAAAGTTATGTCATTTTGCGGCGGCACATATTAAAAGAAAATAAATACAAATATTTATTGGACAAGAAAAATAATAAAGGGCTAGAAATGAGAAGAGAAATATATATCGTCACAAAATTATTATTGTTGATAAATAAACATAATTTCGTCAAAGATACTTCGTAATCTCTATAATAATGACGCGAACACAACCATGTTAGTAACGCATTTTTTCAGAAAATAATTTTCATATAACGTGTACCTTGTATATAGACTGAACTGTGGCACCAGCTCCCAATTTTCCTAACGAAATCGTCTCAGATATTAAGAGGTACATCGTTCTTCGTTCAGAACTGCTGCATATTCTATGCTTTATGAATATAATCAATATTAAAGGCTGCGTCCTAACATTGCTTCTTAATAAATAAGCAATGCCAACCCGAACAGATCACTACCATTTGGACCAAAAGGAACTTCCGTGTAATTATTATTTTTTATACGCAATTCTTTTTGTCATTGAATCGTTGGGGCATGTTGTTTTGTAGCATTAGGTCAAAATAGTTATATAATACCATCCTCTATTTTTGTAAATAAGGTAGTTAATTTTTTAGGTGTATTTTAATATATAATCAGTTTTGGATTGGGTCTATTCCCTATAACTGATTGGTTAATACATCGACTTCGGTAATTCATATCATTAATTTAAAGCTTCAAATTTCGCGACGAACATATCTTCACCCGTTGAAATTAACGAGAATCGTTCGAATGCAAACGTTTCTCTATCTTTCAATGCCTATAACAACGTAAATGTTTACTGAAAAGTACGTTTTTCAAAAAAAAAAAAGAGTACTTGAGCTTAAAGGCGAAACCAGAGAGCTAACGGAAAAATTGAAAAATGTTTTTTTTTTGTATAACTGCTTTGCAAAAAAAAAGAACTATAAAGGGAGTCAAAGAAGTCAACTCTTCCTAATCGTTAACATTAGCGCGTCGTAGAACAACTGTTACCTATAAAGAGGTCTATTACTATTCCAAACAAGTTCTTTGCATACTTGAGTTGATATCCTATTATGATTTACTATTCCTTAATAAAAAAAAAAAAGAAAAAAAAACTAAGCTGGTCCGTAGAGTAATATAACTAGGCTCGTAACCATAGAGTTCAATGGATAACAGCGACTTCGCAATTCTTTTCAACTGTTTTTGAGTATTCGATCGTGGTGAATCGGACTTCAAGCAGCGTTGATTCACGTGCACTTTTTACGCGTCTATTCGAGTTGCTTTCTACCGTAACGTAAACGGCAAGCCTTTAACGTGTTTAAGGCTTTCATTTTTGCAAAATAGTTGTTACCTTCCAGTGTGTGTGTACTATCTTAGGACCCGTTCTAGGGACCCTTTATAATAAGGTGTCATTCGCTAGATGAGGATTGACTAATAGTAGATAAGATAATTTCCATTAGTTGTTGTAATTATGAAATCTTAACTGTACATCGAAAGACACTACATTAAGGCAGTAACAATGTAGTTTGACATATACGTTCGAATTAGAGCCCTGATCTTCATCTTTGTTCATTTTCCAGTTTGTTCACTTAAACACATAGCCACAAAGTAACTTAATGATAGCAAATGCAAAGTTCACTTCCTTAATACACACTTCATATGTGGTGATGCGCATACGAAGTGTCTGTGCTATTGAAAATTATAGCCTAATTATTCAGAATTACCTTTTGAAAGCTGAACCTGGAATACTTTTGTCTTGATAGACACAATATTATGGCTTTTTGAGAAAATTACCTTCTTTATGAGAGATATGATGTTCATTTTTAACTTAACGGGATAATTCTTCCTTTTAAATGTACTACACGCTTAGCGAGAGGTTCAATACAGTTAGCCGTAGTCTATAGCTAAAACTTCGACAGGGGACAGTATTAGATGTCGGCCTAATTTGATAACGCTTCGTTGTTTCATTTGGCCTGGAGCTGTTCCGGCCGATTATTTCAGACAGTCGAAGGTAGGAATTATAAGTCCAAGTAAAGCAACCACAGGATAAAGGACACGTTTCGTTTCGTTTGTTTTAGTGGCTAATTTTTTAGACCATCGACCTAAGTTTATTTTTCCTACCTGATCTATAACAGACTTAATCGATCAAGTGGAAATTTATCTACTTTCGTCATTGAGTTCATTCATCAATAGCAGCTCCAGTCTCAAAAAACCTATACCATATCTAGAACCCCGCATCCATTCTGGGATTTGACATAAGCTGACAAAACTCGGCCAGTTCGAAGTGAGCCAGTAACAATTATAAGCTGTGTTGCTATGGTCATATCGAAGCGTGGTTTTCTTTGACGTCAGAGTGCAACGGCAGAAGTCGAATCGATGGGTAACGATTGCATCCCGCCCATAGATATACTATTTTTAAATCTACTGTTTAATGACTAAATTCGGTATGTAACAAGGTCGAGACAAAGATTTCGAAAAAAACATGGCTCAATTTCTTTGATTGCTTGAGACAATGTTAATATTATTAAAATAAGGCGCTGAATGGCGACTAAATATCGCGCTAAGTACGTATAGCTGTTACTGCGTATCATACGCAGTGGCCACCCCACGTAACGTTTGATCAAACCAAGAAAAGACGGTGTGCGATCGATAATGGTTGCGCTGAGAAATTTATTTGGGAAAGAAAAAAACTACCTCACATTTACAATATACATTTCAAGCGCGTTAGAGATTCAGGTGGTGAGAATAGTTTTCTTTCTCTGGCTATTAGGCTGATGATTCCTTCTATCGCTCGATTTCACGGCCAACTTGGATATGTTTATTATTTTCGACTGCTTAAGGATATTACCACTGAAGTTTCATCAACGTTCCAGGTATGATATCTACAATCCTCGGACATAAATTTTTGTCAGCCATTGCAGATTCGCTTAGTTAGGTACCTGAGACGACGATTTTACAGGTGTTTCCAATACGCGACTCGCGAAACATTCAATTTGCCATCAGCCTCCCGTTCATACCCATGCTCATAATGTGTTAATTCATATTATTTCCATAGACAAGTGCCTCTCACTTTTCGTGAAATAAAACTCAAGCGGTTCTGAAAGCAGGCTTTTATTTTCCGCAAACCGATCTTCTTTGCATAGCTAATCATATCGCGTCGATATGCTACGATACGGTAGTTATGTTCTAATCCTGTAAAGGCAGGGGTTCTGAGCAGTTCGCTTCCCTTTAGCCTTCTAGAGTAGAAACCCCGATACCCGGAAGCACTTTCATTGGGACTGAGTAAGACCGAGAATTTTTTTCAGAGATCATTTGTGAGATTTTTATTTATAGAATAATTGACTTTTTCGCTGCTGTACAATTGTATACTAGTCTAAATATACTGAATTAAGCAAAAAAAAATCGTTCCACGGTACAAATCGACACCACTTTCCACGACTTTGTGATGTTTAATCGTCACCTGAAAAATCAATCTAGTCGTAATAAGTCGATATGAGGTACTATGAAAACTGTCGTGAAAAAGACCGGAACGACTCGGATCTAGTCCATTGCAGGTTATTATTTAATGAAATTATTAGTTAAAAATGTAATTCTAATATCTTTGAGTTAAGATAGACCAATGAAAGGAAATGGGCAAACGCCTCGGGCGTCAGCAACAGGAGAGCCCAGCTGAGAAGGAGCAGCTCCCAGGTGGCGTTGACAGCATCGTAAACTATTGCGCATGTGTAGTACACAACCTAGAAGGGAGAGGCAGCCAAATTAACGTGAAAGTCATTCTACAATTCAATGTACAAACACAGAGCTGTTCGATACTTAACTGGTAGTTGATTAAACATAGCATTTCATTTGATTCAATTAATAGCCTGTTTAAAATATTCACCTTGGCAAAAATGACCGCAAACCAACATTCGTGATAGAGGAGGTCCAACTTGAATCCTGGAAGGCCTACGATTGCCAAACAGTGAGTGCTAAAACAAAACAATGCACCGAATGCAAGACATGTGGTTTGATAGTGATGTAATGGCGAGACTTCCGCCCATTGATAAAACGATACTTCGTCCACGATCTGTCTTGTCTGAATTGGACGTCAAAAGAATATAGATGCATACAAATATACATCCAATTAGAACACTGTATATTTTTCAATTTTCCAAAATTATAACGCTTTTCTACATAAGAGAGTTAATTTGATTCGTAATAGGAATGCTTTGAGAATATGCCAGGCTAATGATAACATATATCGACTACATGATAATACTTGAGTGTAAAACAAAGAAGAAACCAGAAACACGTACCTCTCCAGGCTGTATATAGTTATCGATGGACTACTACAATCTACATAGATATTGCTGTAGCTATATAAAGAGTTAACTTGTACTTAGATGAATGGTTCTGTAAAGGATGAAGCTCTTGAAGTTCATACAGTCACTTGGAAGACTTTGTAGAGCATCACGAGGTGTAGACAGGTGTGAAAGAGCTTACATGCGCGAAAGTTCGGATCTCCCGATATCAATAACCCAATGAACCGTTGCACTGCAGGTGCTAGCATTCGCTTCTGCAGATCACCACATACAAAATCGTATATTAACATCGTTATTTAGAAAAAAAGATTATTTTTATATCAATGTTGCTATTTGTTTTTATTGAATAATGACTAGTTATTTGTGGCAAAGGAGATGAAAGGGTAACTGCAGCTGCTTCAGCAGTAACCGTCACCGATACGTCGCAGGAGAACTGGTACGGGCCTACTCATTCTCGATTCACTTCCGTATTTCCCAAGCATTTGAGTTGAAGAGTAATAGAATTGGCATATTGCAGAGCCTAAAAATAAAAACATAGTCCGAATAAACAAGATCGGAAGGCTACTTGAGCACAGGGGGTTACTCGCTTATATACAAAAAAAAAAATGTGTACATTGTTTAATGGGTTACAGCTTTCTAATGGTTCGTGACTGTGTTTATATGCACGAGTAACCACTGTGCTTAAATGGCATTGCGATATTGTTTATTCAAGCTGGATTAGAATGTACCTATTAAACTTATATGTATTATACAATATACTGATCAATAATTAATAGTCTGAGACGCCTACTAAATGGTCTGCGAACTATATGCTGTATGATGTTTTAGCCGTGAACTAAATACGATATACTAAAAGGCGCTATGAAACTATCAAGATCTACTAGTGCCAGACAAGTCATTATGAATGATAAACCATCGATAACCTTTAGCATAAAACCCATATACCGTCACCATTTAGTTCTTGCAAGCTATTTGCTGATTGGCGTGCTACGCTATGGACCCTTCTGACTTCCCAACGGCCCTACCAATATTCGGCTCATTACTTTTCGCATCGGCTTTGCAACGTCCAACGGACGCGGACAAATTCGACGGACAAATCCATTTCAGTTTCGTCGGTAGGTGCGAGCCCCACTTCGCGATAAGCGGTAACGCAGAAGTCAATGCACTGGCCACTCACGATCACTTTTCTCTTCTTGGAATCATCCGGTACCCTGAAGCTCGTAACCACTTTCGATGTGACCGTTGGAAAAAATGCGTAAACCGTGTATCATTTCGTGGTCTCCTGAGTGTTTATTATCAAATATATTGCTTTATGTATTGGTGTTCATGTTTACTTTTTGCCTGCCTCATTGTACAGCGCGCCTTCGAACATGGACCAGGGTTTTTGCAACATGCGAAAATTATACAGCCGCGTGAGAGGAATATAGGACGCGAGTAAGTTTTCTCCCTTTCAACGAAAAAATATGAGACATGGGAAAAACTTCGAAAAGCAGAACTTGTGCAGACAATACGGGCCCGCTAAATATGGCTCACCTTGAGCGGAAACGAACTCGCTATGCAAATGCCCACTGCAGAGAGCACGCCATTGTATGGTCTAAAATATATAAATAATTCTACGGTATCGCAATCGAATTGCGAGAAAATTTCTCGCGGTGTTTGGACAGATCGAAGAAACACGTTTTAACTTGACGTACCTCTTGACAGGACGTGCTGTGTCACATTTTCGTGTATAAAAACTCGTAATAAACGCACGGAAAGCCGTGGTTTTGTCTGGTTCAAATGATATGCTTGTGGTAATCGTTTTTACTCGCATCAAAAAATGCCGGTGTTGGGAACGGTTTAACGTTTATTGACAAGTTCATCTGGAGAGAGTTACACACCAACTGTGTTTATGGCTTTAAAAAAATCGGTTGTACAAGTAGTGGTAGGTCCTTATCGCCCGCTAAATGTTTCGATCAATCATTGTTTGTAAATTCAATCAAATTCGTCATGTCTAATTTAATATTAATTATTATTTACAGCGATCGAAGTATAGAATCGCACTTCTTTCAAAGAAATCTCCATGATAACTCGAGTTTCAGCAATCTACGTTAAAGCACCTAGCTTTAGATAAAATAGCGTAGATAAACCTGTCGCTACGCTGTTGAAGATTCGTCCGCTCTTACTAATAGGAACTACTTACTAAACTTGGCATGCCTCTCGAGCATCCCACATGTTTACCATGAGTATAAATTTATACTTATGTATTTATTTATAATAAAAAAATCCGGGTTATTCTTGTTAGACCGGCAATGCTGTCCATACACCGAGCTAAGTGAAGGACGATAATCGGATAGCTTCCAAGTTTTGCTTACGCCGCTTGGCCTTACCTCAGATTTTCAATAACTTTTTACTCGAAGTGCTGTGAAGACCTATTGAAAAATAGTGAGTTTGTAATAAATGTAAAATTGTTTGAGCGATTCGCCTCAATTTAGTGCACTGAAATAATTAGCATGCAATTGTGACGCACGCTGTCGGCAAAGGCCGTTGTGTCCATTAGCCTAGACCTACTGAAAGAACGTAATGAATGTCTACTTCAGCAAGCTCGTATAAACGTTAACGAAGCAACGGCTCACCTTATGTGTCATCGCGGGCGTTTAGTATACTTTTGAAAGAGAGAAAAACACGCCATGATTTAGGTAAGTAGAATGGCTTGTTAAGTTTATATATCAGAAGGCTATACTGGTCTTTATAAATGTTTGCTTTGTCTCAGTATTTAAGCAGATCATTTCTAACTAAACAGTCCATGATATTTTTTCTAGATAGCTGAACTTTTTTTGCTATAAAAGTATTGTGAAAAACTTGCCTAATAAATGTTGCTTTTCCGTTAGAATAATATAAAGCACAACTGACACAGACCCATATCTGTGCAATCTCCTATCAGAATGTTTTTCTGCGGTATACAGGTGTCCTGGTAGAATAAATTTATGGAGGGTTTATAGTTTTCGTTTTATGATATCTGTAGTCGATATAGCTGATGCTTGTGTCGACAGTTGATTTTATTCGCGCCCAAAACCGTGCATACATCCTATTCAATAGATCCAAAAGGTTTTTTAGTAACGACAGTAAGTAATGCGATGTTGATGTGTCAAAGGTCCAACTGTCAAAACAAAGCTGGAAGCATCCGAAATGTACAATGAACTGAAAGAAGCTGGTACTTGAGAAACGTTGGGAAATAACGACGGCGTTGCGCCCAACATAAAATATCTTGCTCGCTGAAAATTACTATAGAACAGCCTGGTTTGTCGCATAATATCAAAAATAAGCTACGAGATATGCATGCGCATCCTAAACCAAGGTTTCAAGTTTAACGTTCCGTACTGTGTCAGGCGAAGTGTGTGTACGTTCACTTTGAACTTCATCTATTTCACATGTCTCTAAATTTGGCTAAAAAACACGTTGCCATTGTATATATTGTTATCACGGGCACATGCGCACCCCAAAACAGCAGTATTAAGCCCGGCACTTCATTGCCTAATATGGCTATTGTGTGGCTACTAAATAGTAGCAAGCCATATCACACTTGTACCAGATATAGAATAATGATCGCCAAATTAACTTAATTTTTTTCCTACATGGTAAATGTGCTAGACTAGAGCAAGTTGGTCTGTACATATCTGTCGTTTAGAATTCGAAACAGAAAGAAATCTGTTACGTTTCTATGGGACAATGTCACTAAAAAAAGATTTTTCTGCATCGCAGGCAGATTATTTAGGTATATTAGGGACTGCTTGGCCCTGTTTAAGCTGAAACAAATTAGGCTGATACCTATCATATAAATTACTTTCGAGACTTGCCGATGGTGCGAATAACGATAGCAGGGTCGACGGCTTATTGTACGGAGCACTCGTCGTTATAGAATCTTTTCAACGAGGGTTTATCATTTGCGCCTTACTTACTTGTTACATCTGCCGGGGAATGTGCAGACTTACCTTACATTGGAATGTTTAAATGCTGTAATGAGCTCTTCGAGTGAATATTGGTGAACATTTGATGTAGTCGTCTGTAACCCTATTGATAGCCTTCGCGAATTTAGAAACCTTCTTGCTCACTAAATAGGGATTTCATCGCTTACCGTTGGTAATGAATGCTGCACCGAAGTGCTAGTCTCACTGACCGCTGAGGCAGTAGTGAGGCCAGTTTAGAGCTGGTTTGGTACAAGTCCATAATTCGAATCTGGATATTCACGCGATGATTATTGCCGAAAAAGAGTCAAGCGCGTACACCTTGTTGCCTACACCTGTGCTAGTGTCTAAATGCCTCCGGAACCGAAAATCTATCAAACAACTAAGGCAGTAACTTGGCAAGGGAAACCTTCAAACTGTTTTAAATCTGTTCGAATCTAATAGGAGATCATGGTGACCGCCTAAGTTACTCGACATAGCTCGCGAACGATCGCATTCAGGTCCCTTTCACCGCAGTCATCCAATATATTTTCCGAAGCTCCGCACCTACTATACAGTTAGGCTACCGTTCAATTGAAGACTTTAACGCCCCTATAATGAACACATGAAATCGATATGAATCTCTGCTTTCTTACTTAACTAGCGGTGTTCCTTTCAATATCTGTGAATATTCGTGATAGATTTGATCCTCATTTTAGTTCAAAGTATTCAGAAGCAATATTCAGAGAAATGCCAGCACGTGGTGACTATTCCAGATTGACTATCACCGCCGTTTGGTAACTAGACGTTGCTTTTTAAAGTTGGGTGGTCAGCATGTCCTTTTGCAAAGCTCGAAACCTAGTTACGTTTTCTAACTTTGCGTTTTTAAAATAAATGTGTCAATCATCTTAGTATTTTTTAAATTATCAATTTATCTAAGCTGCCTGCTTGCTTCCCAGTAATTAGATCAGACGGCAAAATAATCGTTACGATGTAGTAGCCTTAATCGCGTTTCAACGCGATGGGTGTCTACAAAGATGTAGTGTCTAACTGAAAATAAATTTTTGAACGTATTTTTTAGCTTCATATCACGTACATTTTTTTCCCGTAGCAAAATTTGGTCTACACGAGCTATATTAGAAGCATTTTGGCACGATGTTCATTAAATTATCTACGGATACCTTGCAAATTTGTTTTCAAAATGGTCCAGGTTTTTTGGAAGCACCAAATATGCTAAGATGTATAACCAAACAATTACAATAAGCTGTTTGGATACTTTGAAGGTAAAATAATAACATTAGTGAATCATTAAATGTGTCTGATATACGAAAATATACCGAATAGGTGATATAGGGATGAAATTAGCTATAAAATCAGTGGAGTTTTTTTTTTTGATCCAGTCAAAGGGTTTAAGTATCTCAAGCTCTACGTCCCGTACTGTAATATAATTCTTGAGACCACTGACCCCCAGCAGGAATCAAGTCCTATCTAGGCCAAGTCTTCAATCCGGACCGCCTCATATCTCCTCGACCGTCAGTAAGCATACACGTTGCCCCTGTACCGTTAAAAAAATTTACTCAATGACTCTAACGCAATAAGGGCGATGAAACACCAAACCTCATCATTCTGTTGTTTCTGTTGTTTGTCGCAATAGAGATGAGCTTAACCATAGCTTTAATCAACCGTTCACAAGATCACCCGAATATTTGGCTGCCAGTAAACAAACGAGCTCAACATTGGAACATGATTACTTAACAGTTTTCATTTACAGTTGAATAGCCTTTAGTCTTACCTTCACTTGATTGTCTATGTGAGATAATGTAGAAAGTAAAACTTCATAGTACGGCTACCTTGCACCGAATCGTGTCTTAAAGCATCACGAAGGTCTTTGCTATCGTATCTTCGAGTAGGAAAGTATTTCGCTTTTCGTCAAGTTCGTGTGCAAATGGACCCATGAAAGTGGTTTCGAAGATCTTTGCACTAGATTCTCGCGATATTTCTTACCACCGGCAGAACTATCGCAGTTTAGCTTATCACAGTGATATAAAAGGATTCTTTGTTATATGATGGACAATTTCATACATCAATATGAATGGCAAACATTCTTGCAACTTAGCTTAACTACCTTTAATCAGGTCGGACATTTGCGCCGTTCCATCAGTCAAAAATTACCCTAAGCAAGTTTCTTGACCCGTGTCAACAAACTTTTGATTTGTTTGTTGAACGAAAAACTTGTAGTAAAAATATACGTTTTTTTTTCCGACAACATAAACATGTTTGGCATTTCTGCGAAACTTTCCCAACGGAACATGCACCAAATAGCGCATTGTTCACTTATCTCGATCACCTTTTGTAAGCATTTTAGCGAATTCATCATGCCATGCCTCCAAACAACGGCGGCCCTGTATTGGCCTACTCCATATTTTTATCCTAAATAAAACGGATGGAATATCTCTTTGTTGAATGACATTCGCAGGAATATTGTAGGAAAATATTGTAGCAACGTAGAACCAGGTCTATAGCACAGGTGGGATAAAAAGTAAAAAAAAAAACAGCTATTGTTGACTTTATGACGTTTTAAGCTAGCCGCAGATACGTGGAGCGACAGCAGAAATAAAACAGTTTTGTTTTTCACAGACACCGCATAGCTCACAATAACTACATAGAGTCATAACAGCTGTAGTTTGTATACGTGTGGCAGATGGTGGCATGAGGACCTGTATTTTTTCAAGCTTGCGAAAGACGAAGAGGAAACTGGGCCTTTCAGATTTAGGGGCTTCGAAATGAAGGGAAACATTTATTGAATGTTCTCATGTTTGCATCAAATAGCTATATGAGAGTACGCATTGAACTTGAATAACGCAATGCACGACCGTTGATGCTTATCTACGTCCGGTATTGCTGTTAGACGTTCTGTCAGACAGCTGGCTGGCTGGCTGGCTTGCTTCCAGCACGAAACGGGTGGTGTGTGTGTGTGTGTGTGTGTGTGTGTGTGTGTGTGTGTGTGTGTGTGTGTGTGTGTGTGTGTGCTCGGCTTCGAACCTAGACCACAACGTGTCCCTAATATTAGCATGCACATACGTTTCCCACGAAGCCATCACAGGGACGGAGGACTCGTTTCTCTCTGTTGCTCCAAAGTGTCTCTGCAGGGTTTAAATTTTTCTTAATTCAGGCACGAGCATTTTTAGATGTGATCTAGTAATCAATTTGATCGTAAATAAAGTTATATGAAAACAATATAAAATAACTCATCTAATCTTATATTTATTGCGCTATATAATTCGGATATGCCTGGCCAGTATTTCCTGTTTTCTACAATCTCTTTTGATCTTCCAAACCTACCTGGTAAAATCCTGCATTGCGATTCTTCTCAACTCTTAAGAGAGACTTACTCTTAAGAGTTGAACTCTTAAGAGTAAGTCAAAGATACCGAGTACTTATATTATTTCTATATCGGAACTGGGTGCAAGTAACGCACTGTATTCCACGTTTTGTTGAGGGTGTTGTATGAACGTGGCCTTCCGTTTTATGAGTGATCAACATTCAATTGAATTTAATGGCTTAGATGACAAGATAACCAAGTGATTTAAGTCTTTGTGATTCCGTTTATTGTCCTACAAACTGTAAGGCATATGGCAGCTTGCTACTTACCTGATGTAGTATTTGCAGAGTAGTTCGAAAAGTTAACCAATTTTAGTGGAAACGCATTAAATGCACAAATAAAATATTGTTGCTTATATCATCAAGAATTGGTTATTATTATTATTTTGTAAGGAAAAACTGTAAAAACTATTACTTCATTATTTGAGAGTAAGTTCTCTTTTAATTCGAGTCCGCGATCGGTAATAAGAAACGGTGTGGAACATCACAGAAGACGAACTACGGAAAAGGTATACAATAAAATTTTCTATTAACTATGTGTATGTTATGTATAACCCCAAAGAAATCAGCAATGGCGATAAACGTTTTCTTGTGCAAGTACGTTTAAAATAGCATAGATCATGAACTCATGTTTTGAAACAATCATGCAGCCTATAAAGTAACTTTATAATTATAATTTTAAAATAACTCAAGTGGTAGTATAATAACAGTAAACAAAAACAGCTTTAATTCTCCTTTGCTATATGACTTAATTTAAATTGTCTATGCTAAACGGACATTTGAATGCAAAGGTTTTTTAAGCAGATAAAATCGAGAAAAAGCACGAGCCAGAAAACGAAGCTTATTAATTGGTGGAAACATATAATTTAATACTCTCAACCTAATTCTCACTGAATGCGCTAGACGTCGTTTATGTCTAATTTTTCATAATGAGAACAAACTTTACTTTGTTTAAAAATACTGAGGTGGACGCCTTTTTACTGAACGCTAGCCATAATTATTCTCGAGCCAATGAAACATTTTATTGATTTTTTTCTTTTACGACTAATCGTCAGTAACCTTCGTTCCATTCCAATAAATTTAGTTAGAAAACACCACATGTGCCGTGATTTTTAACCTGTTAGGTTTTACGGTACGTTTAGATAAAGCCAGACCGTACGCCGCGCTGTGACATTCGGCCATATGCCGTCGAGTTCTATATACAACAATACATATAGACAGTTTCTCATTTTAATACTACTTTATGCATGGCTGTATGTGGTTGATACATCGGCAAAGCACGAAAGATAGCTTAGAACTGATCGTTATTTCTGCAACATAAAAATGATATTTCCTAGACATGATAGCCGCGTATAGGAATACATATGATAATAACACTCAGCGCCTTCAACAGGTAAAATAAATTACAGTTAAACTATTACATACGGTAGTATAAATTTCTTTATATTCGATATACGGTCAATTGGCTTGTCCTACACACACACGGGCTCTATGGAATTGAACACATGTGCAATGCCAGGTCCACGCAGGGTTCGTCTTCGTATTGTGCGAGCAATGATTGATAACGTTAAATGTTTTCGAGTTTTAGACGACCGATCGGAGTTATTTTATCTTGTGTAAAAGTGTATTGTGCATTACTAAGAGGCTTTCGATGACCGCATTGTCAGCTGGTTGTAGACGTCACCATATCGCTCGATCATGCTATTTAAACACTCAGTGAATCTGCAAGCCAAAATATTATTGGTCAGGTACATTCAACATTGACGAATATGAACGTATTCGATGCGGTTGGTGCTTTTATGGTTGCTGTTAGCGTTTGTGGCAGCTCTACCGTCCCGAACGTCTCTCCATCCTTGCTTCAAGCTGCCCTCCATGCCAAATGGTCCTCGTATAAAGCCCAGCACGGTAAAGAGTATGCCTCTCATGTAGACAATGTTAAGAAAGTTGTATTTTTGGAAAATACTCGTACCATTGAGGAGCATAATTTACGATTCCACCAGGGTCTCGAAAGCTTCCAAATGGGACACAACGCACTGTCCGACTTTACCCTTGAGGAGATCCAGGCTACTCGTATGGGTCTGGCAATGCCTTCTGACATCGAGGAGCATCATGCCAACGCTTCGCTGCACGTGACATCCGAGGATTACCCGTATCCCACAAGGCTTGACTGGAGGGATCAAAACGCTGTTGGACCTGTCAAGAATCAGCAACATTGCGCATCTTGTTACGCTTTCTCGTCGGTTAGTCTTACTATACAGAACCTGACGCATTTATCTATCTACTACATCAATCCAAGTGCATTCCCTACATTGACATAGTTACGATCACATAGAGTATATTATTAAATAATGCTACTTTCGTATTTTAGGGCGGCGCCCTTGAAACTGCTCACTGGCGTAGGTATGGTATCCTTCCCAATGTTTCGGTTCAGCACATAGTCGACTGTACCCGTCAGTACGGTAATAGAGGGTGCCAAGGTGGCTGGATGCACACTGCGTTCAAGTGGCTTCAAGATCATGGTGGATATCTCGCCAGCACAGAGTACCCATATGCTGCTCATGTAGGCAAGTGCAGGGACGAAAGTACGCTTAAAATCGGCAGAGTCGCACGATATGCCCGTATACCTGCTGGTGACGAGAAGGCTCTTCTCGATGCCGTCACATTCATCGGAACCATCCCAGTTGCCTACAACGCGGTTACCAAGCAACACGCCTACTACCGACAGGGCATCCTCGACGTGCCTGATTGCGGAACCAGACCGACCCACGCTGTCCTCCTTGTTGGCTACGGTACCGAGCGTGGCGTGGACTACTGGATCCTCAAGAACTCATGGGGCACCTCGTGGGGCGAGAACGGCTACTTTCGTATGCGTCGTGGTTCGAACATGTGTGGCGTTGCCAACTGGGCTTCTTACCCGGTTAGCGGTTAAACTAAACATTGTACTAAGATATTCTATGTAAGTCTAAAATACACTATACGACAAGTTTTAAGTAGTATCATGGCGAGGAAAGATAATGGCTTTTTAGTTATTCAAATCAGATAAATTATGTGGACAGCTCCTCTCAAGGAAATACGATGGCAAAAAAATTAGCGCAGTTTTCCAAAACCTGAGAAACACTGCTTTAGCTGTTTCATCGAATTAAAGCCGTCTTATGCGATAATGGGTAACGCAGATTTTTAACGTAAAACCCATCGAAGCATGTAATTGATGGCTTGTTTGAAAAAACGGCGGGGGGGGGGGAGGGGGCTAGGCCCAAAGTGGATGCTCTTATTGTTTACGATACATTGTTAACAGAAAAATCGATATATTGTTTACGATGTTGTGATCTAAAATTGTTGTCAGTTTTCACTGCGAGTAGTTAGCATTGAGCCAAAACTTAGTGTGGAGGTCAAAATTACCCTTTTTCCAAGTGACACGCGGTACGATTATTTTTTCGTTATGGATTATATTACTTTCTCCGAAAATTTTGGAATCGAATATTTTGAAACTAAGCAACACAACAACGTTTTGTCACTATTGTTTTACATATTAGCAGATCGATCTGACAGCTTATTATTACTTCACCAGTGCTTCAGGTTCGAAATCTAGTGGAGACATACTTCGTCTTACGCTGGGGGCTAGACGTCTGAACCAATGCCTAATGGCAGTAGTACTCGATATAAAACTTGAAACGTTTATTAGACATCCAAATTTCAAGTTTGATTGACTCTAAATATTTCTTAAGTTGAAAGCATATCAATGGTTACAGTTAGTCAATATCCTTGCACTCGAAAGCTATTTATTTAAATTTCTGCGAGAAAGTAAGTCTCTTCGTAAATTAAGAATTTCCTTTTTTGCGCTATTTTAATGAAAAAACTTATTTGAGATTTGATGCTCTCAAAGTTTTAAGAGCGGATATATATGACGATGCGTTGAAGAGATCGAATGCCATCATTATTATTACTATTGGCCATAGAATAAAGCTCCACTTAAACTTATTCAAATATTTGTTCAACAGCTGTACATGAATGAAAACTGCCACGTAGAAGAATCTAAATCTGATTTAAAAAAATACAAACACTTCATAAAAGCTATTATAGCCACTGTTATTGATTGTTGTAATGAAAGACATTCTTCTTAATTAAGAGCTGGTTTTCCGAAATCACTGTTACAATCCTTTTAAGACAGCAAAAGGTATACCTTTTACATTTAGACTATCTCGGGTGGGTCCACATCTAGTATAAGTGATTCATTGTTTGTGTTTTGTTTCTTTATCCTCAAAAAAAATGGCCTTTTCAAACTACTTCGTTGATACCATACATACGAGGCCACTATACATGATAATTCGTAAAAAATAGTTAATCCATTAGAGAAGCATTGTACCTAAGTGTTTTCAATGTATTGTATGTGCGCAATAAATGGACGACCATACGTTCACTAGTGCGGTCCTTAGCGCTGACGTTCGCTTCTGGTAAGCAAAATCGAAACTGCTTTCAAAACCTAGAATTTGAATTATCTGCTAGTTCATGCTATAGCGTAAGTTACTCTAAGTCGTATTACCCTAACATAGATCAGCAACACATGCCTCCATACGCAAGGTTCTTGCCATCTACTGGCTCGTTCGAGCATTCATTGTTATAGTTTATATTGACTGGTAATTTTATGTAACAAAGGCATAGTCAACCCCTTGGCACTAGGCTAACCCTACCAAGAACTTTAACCTCTAGTATTTACGGGTCAACCAGTAGACTACGTGGCATATGCGCTTTGCTTTCCGTAAACATGCACGCTACAAAACATCCATCCCACACTGTATCCGGCAATAAACATTTTCTGTCACGAATCAACTGATCACTACAACAAAATTACCGGTCCACGCACCCCAACTGGAGAAATCATGGGGTGCGACGCAGGCTGAATTCGATGTAATTGAACCTATGCTTCTATCACTATAAGTATTTTTGCAAAATGGCAACTGCCCATGCACGAAGACCCAGTATGCAAGATGGTTTCGTCAGAATTTTCGACAGCAATACTTTGATGATGAATATATATGTATGGGGCGCATAAAACCGCTCAACAATCGCTGCGCAAGAGCAACGCTTCGTTCTATTAGCCGTTACCGTAGAAATCATAGGCAACCTTTATTAAATAAATGCTATATGATGGACACGAATTATACGCTTGGTTCATTACAAAGGACACTGTTTGGGCGCAACACGCTCATAGATGAAGCGAATAGTACTAAGCGAACCCACAATCGACTTGTTTCGTTTAAATATGCGCTACGAGAATTGCACATTTTCATTAGTAAACTCATAAGCAACGCGCCATGGACTGCCTCGCAGATCACAAAAGTGATTACTATATTTTTAATCTCATAAGTAGCCTGATCACATGAGAGAAAGAAAGTTAAGAAGCAGTTTGGTTGCACGGAAGTGCAACGCTTCTTTAAAAAACCGTAAGCCTTGAGGAAACGATACTTGACGCGTATGATGCCGATAGACCGCGTCAATTTTATTATCGTAAAAGGCCTCCCGAACTGCAACACAACTCCCACTCTTCCTGCGCTTCTCACCCGCTACGGCTTAGAAAATGGAAGCGAATACTAGATACTTCAGAATTCACGGAAAAACTGCTCGGGTTGTACCGATACGGTATCAAACGCTGTATCAACATGTATAGAATCAAAAGTGCCAGTAAAGTATACCTTGTTGTCTATTAGTTCATAAGAATTATATCAGTAAATACCGTTTGTTTGTTTAGGTCCAGTACTATAAAGATCAACTGGTATAAAACATATATTATGGTAAACTAAGCACTTATAATGGCGTAACGATCAGTTGATCTTCTGTACGAATTGTGTCGGTTACGTAAGATACTAAATAGCTTCGGTTATCTTTTATGAATAGAAAACAAATCATCTTATGAAATTTTTCGATGAACGCTGCAGTGTCTACCGAGTCTGTATACTCTGGATACTCTAAGTCGATACGTGCGTGCTTAGCACGAATTTTAGAAATGCTAGTGTAATTGCGCCTAGTACTGTATGATCTCAAATTTTAGAAAATTATATAAATTTCATAAGCGGCAGTTGACGCGATCTCGAAATGAAATCATTTGTTGATCGCAACCTTTGACGCCTTTCCTCTATAAGGTATGAAAAGAATTATTCGGTCCTGATCACTCTCAAATCTAAGTACGTGATTCTATTGACCGTTTTAACTGAACGCCACCTAGTCAACACTGATATCTTTTTTGAGCCTTTCTCCCTTCATGGTTTCTGTTTTGGCTTTGTTCATTTGAAGGCCGACATCTACGACACAGCTGTACAGAGTTACAAGCGCTTGAAATGGAATCTTCTCGTACTATGCATTACGAGGTTATCAGCGTATCATCGCCGAATGTCGCTGCTACATACGTGAACGGAGACCGTTAATAGGTTTTGAATGAAACAACCGGCTTAAGTTGTTGCGCGAGTGAACTTCATTTGTTACCGCTCTTCCCTCTACATCATCATCGAGTATGACCAGGTTATTCTAAATGATACCTTTTTACCGTCAAGTCTTAGAATATCAAGAAGGTCACATCACACCCATAGCTACAAACTGATTTGGCTGCTCCGAGGTGATACAGGTGTATGTGAAATGAGTAGCACCAAGAATTCACAATATGACTTCAGCTAACAAAAGATCTGCCAGCTAAACTCAGGTTAAAATTTGAATTGCCTTAAAGATGCATAACCTCTTTAAAGTTATTTCATAATAAAATCCGATTAAATCGACATATATAGTCACTAAAGGCAACATGTTGTGCCCGGGGAAATTTAAACATCATTTGTCCGCGCGTCTCACAGGCACGAAGGGCATATAGCAGCTTCTTGCATCAAATATTTGGCCAGAAATACTTTTTATAAAGACCACACACACCTCTTAGTGCCAGTACCCACGCGATAACCAATAGTGCCTGTGATACATATAGTAGTTCTAGTTTAAGTCCGTCGTGTTCTAAGGTTGTTCATTTTATTCTTCACAGCCGTCATCGCATCGACAGTCTCGTTAGGCGCAAGTAATTTACGTCAGAACACAAGTATGCGTCAGGTGAGAACCCTCACTGTCAAGCTGCTTGACGCATGCTAACTATAAACTTTTTGAACCATTTCTGTGAGATATATTTATCTTATATATTAGGTAGCGGTTGTAGACAGAACACGCCGATTTGCTTTTTTTTACTACGTCGATCTAGGTTGCAATGGGTAGGTTAGCAGGCGCCTAAACTCCGAGACTTGGCTTATTTCTAGCATACAGATGAATCCACCTAATTTTTTTCAGTACGTGAGTCCCCTGCCTCTTCAACGAAAATTGTGGCTTTGTATTTGTAAGCGCCGTTAGAATATCGATGAAATGGTTACGTAATATGGCGTAGAACTTGGAAGATTTTTTATAAAGTGAAACGCACGCTCCTGAGCTGTTTGATAACAATCCTAAAACTCGAATACTTGGCTACTTTATCGGCCGTCATTGATTACCTTCCGACGTTCGTTTTTCAATAAAAAACAAGAAGTATTATATGCCGAGAATCTTGTTTTTGTTTTTCACGTTTCAAGTACAACACTACAGCTATGACCTAAATTGGAATAAACTTTGCGCTCTCATTTTATTCGATCTACGTACACGAACCAACCTCCCGCTATCTTTTTCTCTTTCGCTAGCTTATTTTTTAAGCTAAGCTTAACAAAAGATTGACGAAGACTGATATGTGGACGCAATACTTTGAGCATCTTTTGAACCCACGAAAGCACCATTAAGCGATCATCTCATTTTAATAACTACTGTGATTTACGTTATACAAATTTATAAAGCATAGTTACATAGAATAAATAAATAAATAACAGCTACATATAGTTTTCATAAAATTAATATTTTGTTATTACTCAATGTTCATGGCTGAACGAGATTATAACAAGTATTTATTGCACCTTTAAAGAAATATGACTTCAGATAATTTAGAAATGCATTGGTACAGCTTTTCTTATTAGGCATGAAAAGGTTCTATCTATCTATCTATCGCAAAAAAAAACTATCGCGAGGTGAATACATTTACAGATAATTCTAGCCAAGCAATGGACAAAACGCAAAAGATCCCAAAGCAGCTCGCAAGCCACTGATTAAAAAAAAAAGTAGTCCTGAGAAGAAGTTTCGTTTATTTCTCTCCTTCTTCATAAAAAAAATCAATCCCAATGTTAAAATGTTCAAAAATCATAGTACTTCAAGCACA